GTGTAAGTTGTCAGCCCACTAGCAAGTTTCGGAATTAATCGCCTCACAAAGTTAAGCCAACTCGATAATAGTCTTTTGCCTTAGGAATTTATGATCTGTATGCGAAACTTCGAGGGAATTTGTTTTCATGTAGGCCTAATTGAACGTCTGATAAATATTTCACGCAACAAATTTACCGGTCCAATATCACCCCGGGAATTCCAATAATAAGGTCCAAGGGATCTAAGACTTGAAAGATTCATCGTTTAGGGTCAAATCTTCTCGTAAGTGTGAGAATAAAAATAAAACCAGAAGCCTGAGAACTTTTTTTTTTTTTGTAAATCTACTTTTCTCCCCCAAGTTTTTCTTAATTTCCTCTGTCCTCATTTCTCAATTTTTGTCTATTCTTGGCTCTTGAATTTTGGTTTTTTTCAAAGGTTGTTACTATAAATTTATTATTTTCTTAACATGTTCTATTTCTTATAATTTTCATTTCAAGTTGTATTTTTGCCAATTCAGTATCAGCAAAATAATAATTCATAACTTAAGTAATTTAAAAGTATCTACAAAATTTAATTAACCCAATATAATATCAGTACTGCCATCTATCCATAATGAGAATAAAAATACAAATATCTGTTATCAAAAAAAGGTACCGCCATCTAGTACCTGATAAAGATAAATTTATTTTTGAAAATTTGTTTTGATATAATTTAAAGAAATTATATTTATCTCACTTTTAGTAAATATATATATTTCTGTCTTTCCCTAACTTCTGATTCTGAAATAATTATTTTTGGCTTAATGACCTAATTAACTAGTGGTTTTCTGTTTTTAACATAACCTTAATTTAAATTATTGTGATTTGTAAACAATTAAAATAATTCTAGTGTGTTTTTATCTATTTCCTTTTAATCAACATTGTTTTTCATTGATGAAGTGAGCACGGTCTTTTGTGTGTTTTGAGTGTTGTCTTCTGATTGGTCGATGGTTACTACGCAGTTAAGTATAAAAAAAAACACAAGATTGATTTCCTGCAGGCTCTAGGTTCTAAAATGGTCTCTTTCCTGGCAGAACCACTAAACAAGCGAGTCGATTTCATTTTTGTAATTTTTTCTTCAGATTTCTAGATTTTCCCTAATATTTTTCAATTTGTGTATATGTACAGTGTGATTTTTTAAGTGTGCAACATATTTTTTGAGCCACCCTGTATGCTGTTTGACTTGCAACTATTCTAAGTGCACCTAATATGATTATCAGACATGCACCAACTTTTGGCCTTGTTTGTATTTTGATTGTGCTATTACTAAAAAAAAATCCCATATGTTGCACACTTAAGTAATGACACTGTATATCATATCACTGTTGAGTTTTTACCTGATAAATTTTATCTTATCTACCTTTGAAATATAAATATTATATTTTAACTTTTTTTATCTAATTGTGTGCCGCCATTTTGTGATTGGTGGTCCCACGTTTTTCTGAGGTGAGTCAATTCAGAGTTTTGGATAACAAATAGGTACTGCTGCTCTGGTTTTCAAACTCAATGGTTAGTGTGGGATTATGGGACCATTTGCTCTAAGTAGAGTCGTTGCAAACCATATTTGTGTGTCCATCCCTATCAACATTCTGACGTACTGAATCCAGGCAGAGGCCTGTATAGCCATTTATTGTTTGACTCTCTCATGTTCTTCTCGAGAAGGAGAAGAGGGTGTAATTTTTAAAATAGAAATCCAGATAGGTTTCATCTTGTGATACATAATAATAGGTACCTTAACTTGAAAAGGAAGATTTATTTAGTTGGGGAAAATCTATGAAATTATTTTGTTTATCTTGCTCAATTTTTGTTACATTCTTTTTATTTAAATTTTGCCTGTTTAGTGCCACTGCTGGAAAAGCAGCAGTCTGCTCAATTATAACGAGCATCTATCTTTAATCTTTCTGTATACTTACTTAATTATTACGACTTTATTATTTTATTTTATTTTTTTGAGCTGGATTGACGTCACACCAGCAATCTATCCTATTTCCTGAATACAGGAAACAATATCAAGAGCGACAGTTCACGAAAGTGAAACCCCAACATCCATTGGAGAACTCCGGATCGAAAAAGTACATACCAAAACAACCAAACTGTCAAATTTTAAAGAAAAGTAACATTGTTACACACATTGTGAACAAATATCAAATAAAATTATTGTTTGTTGGAATTTGAGTGGTTTCATTTGCACATAAAGGGGCTACACGTTATTTTTATTTCTGAATTCCACGACCCCATAGGTTCTCTTGTCTTAAAGTACAAATAACTTGACTTATTTGTAACAAGATCTTCAAATAACAGAAAAAAGCAGCAAATCAAGAGCCAGTAATGATCCAAATTTTAATTGTTATTGGTTCTTGATTTGCTGAATTATTTTTCCAAAACCAATCAAAGATCCAAAACCAGTCTTAATATTGATTATTATTAGTTCTTGGTTTGCTGGACATTTTTTAAAGAGAAAATCTACCAGTTATGTGTCCAAATTTTGATCATTACCGGCTTTTGATTGTCTCTAAAACAATTATTCAGCAAATCAAGAGCCTGTAATGATTTAAATTTTGATTGTTTCTGGTTTCTTGATTTGCTGAATTTTCTTCCAAGACTAATCAAAGACCCTGACCAGTCTAAATATTGATTGAGAAAATCTGTCAATTGTGAGTCCAAGCTTTTATCATTACCGGCTCTTGATTGTCTCTAAAAAAACTGTTCAGCAAATAAACAGCCTGTAATGATGCAAATTTTGATTTGCTACCTCTAGAAAATCATAATTTCTATATTTATTATACACACTTTATTTTAAATTATTGAAGACAACTGTAAATCGTTCCATCTGGCCAAACAAGAAAAGGAAAGTTTCAAATATTCAAAGAAGTCTTAAAACATTTATAAGCATTTAACGAAAGTTTGAGCTGGGATTTTCAGCAACTTTTATTTGTCTAGAAACACTTTGTTTTGAACAAACAAAAAAACTTAAACAACAGACTTTAAAGAAGTATAAATTGATTTTTGAATCGTTCTTAGCAAAAAGAAACAGCAGCTGGTTATATATTTTTAGGAAAATCAAATACACAATCCATGTATTGAAAATTTATTTTCAAAGAATTTGGTTATAGGCAAGCCTTAGAATGTAACAAACTATAAGTAACTTTTAATTAACCTTTAGTAAACTGTCGATTTAGTCACGTCCGTGCCTTTAACAAAACTTTCGAGGCAAACAGAGTGATTTTAATTTAGAAGCCTTCGTTGCACTTTCCCAATAGAAAAACAAAATTAAGTGCCCAACTTTAAAAAAAAAAGGGTCTTTGACGACTCCGATCGATCTGTTACGTGAGATGAAAAGGAAAACCGATAATTTCAATAATGAGGCAAAATAATATTATTATTTTTGTACAAAGGGATTTATTATCCAAATGCGAAATATCAGCCGATTGAGAGAATGGAGAATAATGAACCCCAAAAGCTTTTATTTTTATTTGTAGACACTTTTGTTAATTTGAAAAAAAATAAATTGTATAGATGTTTTACGTTTTTATGTTTAATGACAAAAGTTTTGAATTTCAACTCAACAAATAAATAATAATTTTGTCAATATATGCTTCTTACCTTTGGAGCTCCCAAATTACACTACAAACTAATAATATTATAAAACTCTTCGCATTTATCACACCTCTTAATAGAGTCTGTTTTGAATGATTTCGCTTCGGTTTTCGTCATTAAACTAAATGGTGCGATAAAAATCATTCATTCAACTTTGAGACGAGTTTAATTATCCTCGATTCCTTTACCCCATTCATCTGAACCACCAGAAAAAAGAAAAGAGGAATCGTTGTCTAAAAAATTACAAAAGTTCAAAAATTATTGGAGGCAATAGCAGAAGTAGTTAAGGGAATTGTATACCTAACATATGTTTAAAATTTGGGAACTGTGGTATTTTTGCGTGCATAAATATTTATTGTATCGTTAATTTCACATTGCTCAGATTTATATAGAATTTAATGCTTTTTCTGATAGTGTACAGTGAAGGTGCAACACCGGTTTTAGGCCAAAAGCAGTCATTTTTACATGTGAATCTCCATAAGAAAATCTAAAGTCAATTCTGCGAGTTTTTGAACCATTTTGGAGTGGTTAAATTTCCAGGAATAAGCCCTGACCCCTTTCCAGTGCCCGTGTATTTCATCGATAGCTGGTTAGTCGCCGCTGCTTCAGGGTCATTGACCGTACCTGGCTCCAAGCGGCTCATCGAACCCACATAGTACCTCGTGACTTGGTTCTCCATTCAAGGTACTTCGTACTGATGATAACGTAACTAATAATAAAATCGTCGTTTCGTCATCGTGTCGTCATCCTCGACGTCGTCGATTTTAGTCACTCGAAATAATTTCTGTACTAAAAAAAGTCTACTGTTTCCGAGGATCAAACCTGGGACCGCTACGTGAAAGTCAAGTGCGCTAACCTATAAGCCATCTTGTACTTGAAAATATTCCAGCTATAATCTTTCACTATCCGCAACATATAATTCTAGTTAAAATATATATAGGCTAAAAAATAATAAATAAAACGAAAAAGTATAAAATGAACTTTTAAGACCTACTAATCGCAGAATGGACCTTATATTTTCTTATGGAGATTAACAAGTAGAAATGACTGATTTTGGCTTAGAACCAGTGTTGCACCTTTACTGTGTACAATTTATTTTGTTTTGTTCAAATTTTAATGGAAATATTGGCAATTTTTTTTCACCTTATCATGATTCAAAAAAAAAAAAAATCAGAACTAAAAAATAAGTTCCCTTCCAACATAAAATTCCAATTACTCCGAAGAATGACACACAAAGTGACTTGGCTATAAAGCGAATTTGCATAGAGTGGACAAGAACATTTGCATTCGAAACGAGAACACTCGATAATTCATTCCGGTAAAGATTTAATTAGAATTAATTTTCTCTTTTTGTTCCAGATGACTCTCGATTAAGCGGACAATCATGTTTACATCTCCCGCTCCAGAGTTAAACTACACAGACCAATATGACGATATTTTCGATTACTTCAACGAATCTTGTGAAATTCTTCCTGCCAACTACACTACTAGAAAACCAACATTTTCCACCATAGTTTATTTGATGTATAGTACTATTTTCTTCATAGCACTGTTGGGAAATGTGTTTGTTTGCTACATAGTACTACATTCACCTAGAATGCGAACTGTTACGAACTATTTTATAATGAACTTGGCTGTTGGAGATATTTTGATTACGTTACTTTGCGTACCCTTTACCAGTGTACCTTTGATGTTGCAGTATTGGCCTTTTGGTTCCATTATGTGTCCGCTGGTTAATTATGTTAGTACTTTGAGTGTTTTTGTGAGCGCTTATACATTGGTAAGAATCTTTGTTTTATTTTAGAAATATTATATTAGATAAATTTCTTGAAGAATTTTTGCAAAGTTGCTTTTTTTTTCAATTCATTAATCCATTGACAAGTGCACGTGTCGGCAAATATCTAATTTAAAGGATGTAATTCGACTCGACAACGTAACTTTTCACGTCTTTCCAGTTTGGAATGACTGACGCAGCAAGTCTGGAAACTCGAGAGAAAGCCACTGCGGTGTATGTTTGCTAAAGGTGTTTTTTTTCCAAATTATCTAATGATGTCAGTCGACATTATCAAATTACTTTGATATAGAAAAACAGAAATACACAAACTGTTGCTATTTTCATAAGTTTTTTCGACTTCAGATGAATATAAATAACTATTCAGGGTTTGAGTACAATTATTTTAATATAAGGCTCATTTCAAGCTAAAACTGTCGTATTGACCATGGGGTCCTGGAGAGAAGGAGAAGCAGTATTTATCCCAAAACTTAGACCAGGTCATACAGACCGATCAGCTTATCGTCCAAAGAAACTAGTTGAAAAGCACATCAGGAAAAACTTCACTGAAACAGAGGCCACTCACAGAAACAGCTCTACACCAACTGGTGACAAGAATGGAGAACTCACTAGAAAACAAAGAAATCGCACTAGTAGCATTCCTTGACATAGGAGGAGCCTCTGATCACACCTCTTTTAACTCCATAGTCAGAGCTATTGGGCAACATGCGACCTTCCAACCAGGCAAATCATGCGAATCAGCTCTACACTTACTGGTAACGAGTGTGAAGAACTCCCTAGAAAACAAGGAAATCGCACTAGTAGCATTCCTTGACATAGAACGAGGTTTTGAGCACACATCCTTTAACTCCATAGTCAGAGCTGCTGGGCAACGTGCAACGTTCCAACCAGGCAAATCGTGCGAATCAGCTTTAAGCCAACTGGTGACAAGAGTAGAGCACTTCAGGTTTATTCCTTATAGTCCAGGAGAAAATAGGACAAAGAGGGGTGGAATAATTGCATATTTTATTAAAAAAGATGAAGTATAGAAACCACCAGCAAAATATAAAGGTAATCATTCATATAAAAAATCCATTTTATTTCTTCAACATGGGATATTCAGAGGCTGGAATACTCCCTAGAAAACAAGGAAATTGCACTAGTAGCATTGTTTGACATAGGAGGAGTCTTTGACCACACCTCCTTCAACTCCATTGTAAGAGCTGCTGTGCAACATGCAACCTTCCAACCTGGCAAATCATGCGAATCAGCTCTACACTAACTGGTGAAAAATGTTAAGAACTCCCTAGAAAACAAGGAAATCGCACTAGTAGCATTCCTTGACATAAAACGAGCTTTTGAGCACACCTATTTTAACTCCATAGTCAGAGCTGCTGGGCAACATGCGACCTTTCAACCAGGCGAATCATGTGAATCAGCTCTACACTAACTGGTGACAAGTGTACAGAACTCCCTAGAAAACAAAGAAATCGCACTAGTAGCATTCCTTGATATAGAACGAGCTTTTGACCACACCTCCTTTATCTCCATAGTCAGAGCTGCTGGGCAACATGCGACCATCCAACCAGGCAAATTATGCGAATCAGCTCTACATCAATTCGTGACAAGAGTAGAGAACTCACTAGAAAACAAGGAAATCGCACTAGTAGGTGGCATTCCTTGGTCAGAGCAGGGGTCGTATTTTCGAAACCATTCGAATGCCGTTCGTATACGAAATAAGACGAAATTCGCATGAAAATTGGGTTTCCGTATTTTCGAATCACTTTCGAACGGTCCGTACACGATTTGGTTCGTGTACGTTTACTCGAGTGGGTCTCCACCAGTCGAATGTCACATTTCGCATGCGATTTTACTTGATTCTGCTCATTGTTGGGAATTTTGAAGTGCTTACTTTGTTTATATACGTTATATTTGTTGTTCATGTACCTAAATACGTTGTGCAAATTGAAAATTATGTTCGTTGTTCCTTCTCCTTTTGACTTTTCATTCGTTTCCAAATAATTTGTAAATTAAATTATCCTGCTTTAATAAAAGACAGTTTTTGGAATGGCTGGCTTGGATTATTTAATCGAAAGAAATGTTATTGATGCCCTTGAAGAAGCAAAAATACTGGCAGATGGTAGGGATAGGGTGTTACAACCTTTTCTTGATCCGCTGGAAGAATATTCGTGCAGGTATTTACTGAGTTCCGAAAATTATATCGCCTGACGAAGCCACTCACCTCAGAGTTAATAGACCTTTAAGAGCCCCATCCAAAAATCATGATTGTTCATTAACGTTATAAAAAGCAAGGATGTTCTAGGAAATCCCAACGATTAGGTGCACAAAATTTATTTCAGCAAGATCTATACCAGCATTTAAAAAGTTAGATGTCAAAAAAATCTTCTTCGTTTTTGTATCGGTCGAAATGGCCATTATCAAATACTCGAATTTGCGACGTTGCCAAAGCAAATGTTACGCGTATACGATATAATTTTCGAAGGGTCTTCAAAAATACGCATTTTAGTTCGTACACGACATTTTTCATTCGAATTAGATTGCATGCGAAGAAATTCGCATGGTTTCGAAAATACGACCCCTGCTGGGCAACATGAGACCTTCCAACTAGGCAAATAATGCGAATCAGCTTTACACCAACTGGTGACAAGTATAGAGAACTCCCTAGAAAACAAGGAAATCGCACTTGTAGCATTCCTTGACAGAAGGAGCTCTCGACCACACCCTCCTTCAACTCCATAGTTAGAGCTGCTGGGCAACGTGCGACCTTCCAACCAGGCAAATTATGCGAATCAGCTCTACACTAACTGATGACAAGAGTAGAGAACTCACTAGAAAACAAGAAAATCGCACTAGTAGCATTCCTTGGTCAAAGCTGCTGGGCAACATGTGACCTTCCAACCAGGCAAATAATGCGAATCAGCTCTACATTAACTGATGACAAGAGTAGAGAACTCACTAGAAAACAAAGAAATCGCACTAGTAGCATTCCTTGATATAGATCGAGCTTTTGACCACATCTCCTTTAACTCCATAGTCAGAGCTGCTGGGCAACATGCGACCTTCCAACCAGGCAAATCATGCCAATCAGCTCTACACTAACTGGTGACAAGTGTAGAGAACTCCCTAAAAAAAAACAAGGAAATCGCACTAGTAGCATTCTTTGACATAGAACGAGCTTTTGACCACACCTCCTTTAACTCCATAATCAGAGCTGCTGGGCAACATGCGACCTTCCAACCAGGCAAATTATGCGAATCAGCACTACACCAACTATTGACAAGAGTAGAGAACTCACTAGAAAACAAGAAAATCGCACTAGTAGTATTCCTTGGTCAGAGCTGCTGGGCAACATGCGACCTTCCAACCAGGCAAATCATGCGAATCAGCTCTACACCAACTGGTGATAAGAGTAGAGAACTCACTAGAAAACAAGGAAATCGCACTAGTGGTATTCCTTGACATAAAGGGAGCCTTTGACCACACCTCCTTCAACTCCATAGTTAGAGCTGCTGGACAACATGAGATTAATGATACCACATGCAGATGGATCAAATCCATTCTAAAACACAGGACTATAAACTCGCCTATTGCTGAAACCTCTATTGAAATAACAGTGACAAAAAGATGCTCAGAGCTTGGCTGCGCCAGAGATAAAGAAGAGCTCTCCCGTCATTTTCTCGACAGAAGTGTGATGACTTGCTTATTCCTCCTGCACTTGGTTACTCCTGAGTATTGTTAGTGCGAGCTGTCCTGCGGGGCATGAAGAAAGAAGAGAGAGAGCCATCCCTAATCAAGGTCACGAAACTTTTCACTAACTAAACAGACGAATAGGACAATACAATAAGCCGACGGCCGCAGTGTTGATGCTACCTAACCCGGCATTTTCATTCTGCATCTCAACCAACCAACCAACCAATTGACCATGGGTCAATTCTTAGTATTCTTGAGGATATCGCGGAATTTAAAATTAGATAAATGTTAACAATATGTCAACATTGTACAGATATCTATTCTCTGGGGCGCCTGAAATAAAATGTAAACAAACTATAGGTAGAACAGACATAAATGTTATTTCGTTAGGTGCCATCCTATTAGGAAATCTTTTCCCTGTAAATTCTGGCGGCCAAAATGAGCTTAAGTTTGGACCCCTTGTTGTATAGCCTTTTTCTTGTTCAAAATAGACCATATTTTCACATGTTAAAATCTTTGTATAGTCAAATCAGTAGTTTTGTTTTAGGGTTGTTTTGAACATAACTATAAGGCACTTGTCCAATAGTTTATGATAAGGGACTATTATACAATCAATTTTCATTCAAGCTCTATTAAATTATGAAATATTAGCTATCCATAATCATCAAATCATTATGATTTAGGTCGCAATCAGCATAGACAAATGGATGCTGATAATGTACCCTTTAAAACCACGCATATCGAAACGTTTCGCCACTTACATTATTGCCGCCGTATGGATATTTGCTGGGATAACAGTCCTGCCTACTGGGGTATTTAGTACAGTCCAACAACCTGAAGGACCCGACGGTGGGCTGAGCGTCTATCAAAAATGCAATAAGTAAGTAGATTATTTTCTAATTTAGCTAAGTAATCACTCAAGATAATTAGGCATCTGGCACACAACAAATTAAGAATTATTTTAACAATTTTGTTTGGTAATACACAAGAAGCTCAAAAGAAAATATATTAGTTTCTGCACACACAGTGCCATATACATTATACCTACTATAGCTGAGCTAGGGGTCTTTTATGAACCAGAAATATTATATATTAGGCTCTAAATTTCATCGTTTTAGGTAGAAACAAGCCCCAGACTAAACAATATGGCGCGTAAGGAATATGTATTATCATTGTACTTGAAGTCTTTATCAAATCTTCAATGTTGCCAAAATTTGAAAAAGATGTAGGTATATGTATGTATAATTAGAAGGAAAATTACAGTGATCTCGGCCAAAATTGTCTATATTACGTTAGATGTTGAAATATATCCAGATCCCTAAGATTTTTCTTCTAATTATATATAACTACGGCCGTTAAACTTCTGAACATTATATGTATGTATAAATAATACAAAAATATCTTTTCTCGTGGAATCAAACATTTTGTGTTTCCGTGCTAGTAATCTTAGGGTAGAATCTCCCCAATGATTTTCCTTAAACGAAACTTCCTTATCCCACAACGATTGTTCATTAACACAAATCATGCGCCATTTTAATTATTTTCCTCGTGTTTCTCTGGCGTTAAGCGTATTACAAATTTATGTTGCCGAAGGAATAATTAGATACTCTAAAAGTAGTTCGACTAACGAACTGAATTTTGAGTAGTTCAAAGGAAATTTATCCGTGCGGTTTACGCGAGATAAATTTTAAATAAGAAGATCCGTTGTAAGTTACAATTGAGATATAAATTTTAACGATATCGTGCTTGAACGGAAAATTTCTGGTTCATAAACTTCGTTTTTCTTTTAAGGTACATTTGCAGAGAAGACTATTCGTCGATTGGAGAAGTATACGAAACCACCTTTACTATTGTCTTGATGATATTGCAATACATCATTCCATTGATTGTATTATTGTTTACTTATACGAGTATTGCGGCAGTGATTTGGTGCCACAGGATACCGGGGGAAGCTGAGAATACTCGAGATAAAAGGATGGCAAGATCTAAGAAGAAGGTAAGACATTAGCAATGTTATCCGAAAAATAAGTTTATAGAAAACAATGCTTTATTTGTAACATAATTTGTAAGGTTATTATGCCATTTTATTTTTCAATGTTTTGTGATTATGGTTCTAAACTTATTGGAAATATTTTTTATGCATGAAGAGATTCTACAATGGATTTTTCTTCTCGTTAGTAATAGAATGTTACCTTGATTCATTGATTTAGAATAGGAACCTTGCTCAGTTTTCAAAAACTCTAAACCTGGGAATATTCTAAATTACAGGTCTTTTAGAGCTTGATAAAAGTTACAGATGCTGAAAGTCTCAATGCAATTTGCTCAACGGTTACCGAGCAATTGAGGTTTGAATATTTTGAAATCAGAATTTAAAGGGAGTATCCTTATGAAAAACTCGATTTTTTTAATTTTCAATTTTGGTCAATTTTGACTTCACTAATCGATAGAGTGGGTCAAAATTAGCAGAGACAAAAATAAAAAGAAAACCCTATTTTTGGCTCTGGAAATTTTTGAAAATATTGATATGATCATGAACAATTGCCCATATCTTTATTAAATTTCAAGCAAATTAAATTAAATTATATACCATTGGAAAGATCATTAAATTCTTCACAAATCTGTATAAAATTGAGTATAGTGGCTCAAATAGTTTTTGAGCTATTGAGCCTCAAAGTTGAATTTTAGTCCGAATTTTGTCAAAAACTTCAAACTCAATTTGCTCAAAAACTATAAACTTGGGAATATTGTAAATAACAGATCTTTTAGAACTTGATGAGACCTACAAATGCTGAAAATTTCAATGCAATTTGCTCAACGGTTACCGAGCAATTGAGGTTTGAATATTTTGAAATCAGAATTCAAAGGGGGTACCCTTATGAAAAACTCGATTTTTTTATTTTTCAGTTTTGCTCAATTTTGATTTTACCAATCGATAGAGTGGATTAAAATTAGTGCAAAACAACCCTGCCATAATTTCCAAACGGCCATTTTAAGCAAAAACAAAAATAAAAAGAAAATCCTATTTTTGACTGTGGAAAATTTTGAAAATCTTGACATGGTCATGAACAATTACCCATATCTTTATTAAATTTCAAGCAAATTGGATTAAATAATAAACCATTGGAAAGAGCATTAAATTCTTCATAAACCTGTATAAAATTGAGTATAGTTGCTCAAATAGTTTTTGAGCTATTGAGCCGCAAAGTTGACTTTTAGTCCGAATTTTGTCAAAAACTTCAATCTCAATTTGCTCAAAAATTATAAACCTGGGAATATTGTGAATAACAGGTCTTTTAGAGCTTGATGAGAGCTACAAATTTTGAAAATTTCAATGCAATTTGCTCAACGGTTATTGAGCAATTGAGGTATGAAAATTTTGAAATCAGAATTCAAAGGGGGTAGGTACCCTTATGAAAAACTCGATTTTTTTATTTTTCAGTTTTGCTCAATTTTGATTTTACCAATTGATAGAGTGGGTGGGAATTAGTGCAAAACAACCCTGAAATAATTTCCAAATGGCCATTTTAGGCAAAAATACAAATAAAAAGAAAATCCTATTTTTGACTGTGGAAAATTTTGAAAAATCTTGACATGGTCATGAACAATTGCCCATATCTTTATTAAATTTCAAGCAAATTGGATTAAATAATAAACCAATGGAAAGAGCATTAAATTCTTCATAAACCTGTATAAAATTGAGTATAGTTGCTCAAATAGTTTTTGAGCTATTGAGCCGCAAAGTTGACTTTTAGTCCGAATTTTGTCAAAAACTTCAATCTCAATTTGCTCAAAAATTATAAACCTGGGAATATTGTGAATAACAGGTCTTTTAGAGCTTGATGAGAGCTACAAATTTTGAAAATTTCAATGCAATTTGCTCAACGGTTACCGAGCAATTGAGGTTTGAATATTTTGAAATCAAAATTTTAAGAGATCTTGAAATTTTAAAAACTGTAGATTTTTCTCAGAAAAGAACTCAGAATTTTAGAGTTTCTGAATGTAATTTCATGTCATATTATCAATCTGTTATTGACTGTTAGTCCCTCTTCATTCCTATGTCTAATCCATTGTAATAAATGGCACGCCATTAAAAAGTTCTGTTAAAAGCTGTTAAAAGTTTTACTGTAGGAAAGTAGTAAAAAATTTAAAACTCGTGATAAAAATACTAGGTTTTAGTTTTGCGTTTTATCGCCCCTGGAAAATGGCTCTCTCATTTATTATTATCATTTCCTGAAATTTTCATGTACGGTGCAATTCCCATAAGATATTTTGCCGAGGAAAAATGTAATAGTTTGTCAAGAAATTCTATATGTGTTAAAGCTCTATGGGACAAAACCTCATCAATTCTCTTATTAGAAAAATATCCGAGGATAAATGAGATAATAATTAAAAATGTTCAATACATTTAATTTAGTTATTCACAAGCAAACCAATATCATTTTCCTTAGGAGAATGTTCCCTATTGTACAATACTGTTTTGGGCAAATTACCATAAAGCCTTGGCATGACATTGCATTCAATTATATACGAATATTAGCCAGTGATAACAGACTGTTATATGTTTCATTGTAAAAGTGCACCCATAATAAATCAAGGCATAAAATAAAATATACAGCAATTTATTACTGGATTAATGGTTTAGGTTTGCGTTTATTTTGAAAAAACAATTTTACCAATAAACAATTGTGTAACTCATAATGATATAATACACATTTGTTTATGGTTATTGGTGAAACTAAAAATGTATGGATTTTTTCGATTGGGACTCTCTATTGAGCTACATTTTAAATTGATTTGTAGGTATGTATTCGTTATAAAGGAAAAACTTAATAACTTGATAATTGGCTATTGATCAATAGGGCTCTTGTAATAATTGATGTTTTCATTGGTCATATATTTCATCACAATTATATTCACATACTGTTGCAGATAATATAATTAATATTCATCAAATAGAGTTGATTTATAACTTAGCCTATTATCCCTCCTTTTAAAGATGTTATTAGGCTTTCAGGCTAACCATCATTAAATTCTGATAAGGGTCTATAGTAACAACTTACATCCAAAAATTTAGAATTTATAGTCAAAACTTTGATAATTATCACAGCCTAAGCCTTATAAAGTATGATACGCACTTAATTTTAGAAACGTCTACATACGGTGGCGAGGGTGGATTAATTTTACAGGGATAAGATAAATGAGGATTAAATAATATACAATGCAATATTATTAATGGAAAACATTCATTCATTATTCAAATAGCAAATTTCAATCATTTTTCACTAATTGAAATTACCAGAAATCGTATGGAGTTTGTTTGATTTTAATGGTATCGTTTGATAATTTCAATGATTAAATAACAGAAAATTCCTAGTATTTGAGGCATTAACTACAATCCGCTTTATCTACTGGAAACCAGAATTTAGGGTGACATTGCAACAACAGATTTAGTGCAAATGTGTAAGTGGAATTTACTAATAGGGGGCTTAATTGACAACGGGAATTAAGTTGCACTATTGTGTTTTTCCCAGAACTTAATGATTGAATTTATCATAGCTTACCTTGTTTCGAATCAATTAAACCCAAGTTCCAATTAAATTCTTTTCCAGGCTGGATATTTTTCTTCGATTGAAATCTCAAATTAAAAGGGTCAAGTGTGTGTCGTAAGCCCTTTTTCTATCACATTAAAATTCCCCTTTTTTTTATTGCAATTTCCATGCTAATTCTCTGCTTAAGTAATTGCACGTCACGTTAATTCATTTACTTATGCTAAAAGCTCTCGCAGCAAAAAAAAAGTCTCTGTGAACTTTATTTCAAAAGAGGCGACATCAAAAAATATGTACATTATTCAACCGTGGTGTGGGTGTAGAAATCATTCTCTAAAATATTTAGCTTCTGGAACTTACAAACTTCGAACAAATTTGCATTTTAAGACTACACTGAGAAAATCCCGCCAACTAAACTGTTTAGTTACTGTTTTTTTAGTTCTGGTAATTAAAAATGATCGAAAATGTAATTGTAGTAAAAAACCATGGTTATAATTACTATTTAAATTGCAGTGGATACTTCTTCTTATTAACTTTTATTTCACAGAGAACGAACAATTCTACATACTTTTGACATACATTTTTACATCTATCAAATTACAATTAAAACACCAGACAGGTATAAGCAGATTTTAGCGTATATTTCAACACCCTCCTTCGCTAAAATCCCTTAAACCCAGTAAATCTTTAAATTTTAGAAATTTTGACCCTGATAAACCTTTTGTTAAAATATTAGCTTGCTGATTATTTGTATCTACATAAATTAAGTTTATCAGACCCTTATTAAACTTTAAATCAATATGTTTCACTCTACGATTATTAGAAGGATTTCTAATTATTGCCAAACAACCCTGATGATTATCTTCGAAGAAAGTTATTGATTCAAAATTAATATCAAAATCATTGAAAAGCTTTCTCAGCCACAATCCATCAGTAACTGAAGTACACAAAGCCACCAGTTCTGCTTCAGTTGTAGATAATGACACGCAAGATTGTTTTCTTGTACTCCACATTAAAATATAATCAAATGCTTTAAAAAGGTATCCTATGACTGATTTTCTATCTTGAGTGTCACCACCCCAATCTGCATCTACATAACAACATACTTCGCCTACAGTATCTACTCTACAATATTTTAGGCCAACATTGACAGTGCCCTTCAAATAACTTAATACTCTTTTTAAATTCGACCAATTTTCATCAGTTGCTTTATCTTGATATCGAGCAAAAACATTCACTGAATAACAAATATCGGGTCTACTTCCCAACATCAAATATATAAGGCAACCGACCAACTCACGAAAAGGTTTTTCTGTCTTTTTCTTTATACCATCAAAAAATTCAAATTTCAATTTTGGATCAATAGGTATGCTTGAACTATTGCATTCGTCCATTCCAAATTTTTTCAACACATTTTTAGTATAATTTAACTGATCTATTGTTAACACTC